GCGGGGGAAGACACGGAGGCGCTGCTGAGGGCGGCGCTGAGGAAGGCGAGGTCTGGCTGCGGTCGCGACTGCGAGTCGCTCTGCTGGTTCTGCTGCAGCTGCTCGAGGGCGCGGAAGTCGAATCTGTAGGCGTAGCGCTTGCCGTGCACCTTCGTCATGAGGTTCCTGTCGTAGTAGTACCTGAGGGCGCGAGAGAGCTTGTCGTAGTTCATGTTGGGCTTGGACTTCCTCTCGCCCCAGCGCCGCGCCACCTCGTCAGGGTCCAGGATCTTGAACTCGCCGGCGGTGCCCTCCCAGGTGATGACGGCGGCGTTGGCGGGGTCGGACAGCAGCTCCAGGAGGAACTGCCACAGCTGGATCTGGCCCGAGCCCTGAGCGGAGAGCTTGAGACACAGAGGGCCCAGGATCTCGTAAGGGTCGCCCTCGATCTGGTCGTCCTGCCCGTCGCTCTCGGCCTCGAAAGTGTCTGGGAACTCGTCCTTGGGGAGGCTGAGGCCGTAGTTCCCGAGGAGGATGTCGAGGTGCTGCGCCAAGATTCCTCCTGACGTCTTGCCGACTTTACGCTGGATCTCGCCGCGGGTCATCTTGCATAGTTGGCATCCTGAGGGAGAGAAAAAGGGAGAAAACCGTAAGTCTCAAACATAAGGAATAAAAAGACAATCAACTCTCACGAAGTGATAGATCCACACAACTTCTTTTCAGACCAAAAGACCCCCAAACGGCTTCACGAATCCTTACCATCTGTGGGTAGGAGCGCAGGATTGAGTGTGGGGGCCAGATCGAAGTCCTTTTTGGCCCACGCGACCCACGACTTGATATCCTTCGTTGTCCAAACTCTGGGATCTGGAGAAGAAGAGGAAAGAACATGAGTCATCGAGTTTATGATGATAAACAGTGATAAATGCAATAATATATGACAATAATATCAACAACAGTACAGTACAATCAGTAGTAGCAGTAGTGTAGTAGTAATAGTAGTGTAGTAATAGTAGTAGAAGTAGTAGCAGTAGTGTAGTAGTAATAGTAGTAGTAGTACTGGTTTTGTAGTAGTAGTAGTAGTGGAAGTAGTTGTTGTGGTAGTAATATAAAACCGGCAATGATATCACACCCCACTACAAAACACCGGCGCAAAGTTTCTGATGATGCAACACCTTAGCGGGGTTTATCACAGGGTAAGTCCCTTCAAGAGCTCCTCTCCCCCCTCACCCCCCCCTCCCTCCATACTCTCTCTCTCTCTCCCAAGTATCACTCCCCTCCCCTCCCCACTCTCTCACTTCTCTCCTCTTCTCTCTCTCTCCTTAACCAAGCCCCTCTCCCCTCTTTCACCTCCACCCTCCCTCCCTTCCTACCCCCCCCCCTTGGCTCTCTTCGGCAGCTGGCACATCTTCCCTTCGCTTCGCTTCCTCTCGTGTCAAGCTGGTTCGGGGGAATCCCCTTCGCCTAGCCAAGTGCTGCACTTTTACTCGGTAATCGTTAGTCTCTTTGAACGCGTAAGATGCACTTCCTCGTAATTTTTCTTTTTTTATTATTATTATTATATTTTTCTAATGTTTGTTCTTTCTTTTACATATGTTTTCGTGTGTCTTGTGCGCAGAATAAGACTCGTTTAATTGTCTGATTCTGAATTTCGGAAAGCGTTCGATTCTGAGAAATGTTTTAGCCTTGAAAGTAAACAAACAAATGGAGTTGGCAGGGATTCGGGGCGAAGACAGTTGGTGCTTGTCCGTGAGCGTGCATGTGTGTGTGTGTGTGTGTGTGTGTGTGTGTGTGTGTGTGTGGTGTGTGTGTGTGTGTGTGTGTGTGTGTGTGTGTGTGTGTGTGTGTGTGTGTGGTGCTGCGTGCGTGCGTGCGTGCGTGCGTGTGTGTGTGTGTGTGTGTGTGTGTGTGGTGTGTGTGTGTGTGTGTGTTGTGGCTATGTAAGTATGCAAGCGTGTGCACCGACGCCTAAACGCCAAAAGATAACATTTACAGTTAGATCTCAACTCTTTCCTATTGCCGCTGTCCACGTAAGTCCTACGCGATCTTATCGGAAGTTACGACTGATAAGGAACAGTTTCCAGGAACTAGAACCCAGTTTATCGACCTTATCACCTGACCTCCTCAGATAAAGCGAGAAAAAAGGACGAAACACACGTGAAGATAACGTGAAAGAGAAAAAAAATAAAGATTTAGTTCCAATAAATGAAAACTACCTGGTGGGATTTTTACGATGTAATAGTTTCCGAAAGACATTGCATTACTTCTGAGAACGTAGTGGGACTTTCCGTTGCGAGAGAGAGAGAGAGATGAGAGAGAGAGAGAGAGAGAGAGAGAGAGAGAGAGAGAGAGAGAGAGAGAGAGAGAGAGAGAGAGAGAGAGGAGAGAGAGAGAGAGAGAGAGAGAGAGAGAGAGAGGAGAGAGAGAGAGAGAGAGAGAGAGAGAGAGAGAGAGAGAGAGAGAGAGAGAGAGGCAAAGAAGAGAGATTGTGAGAGCTAGCGTTTGAGAAGAGAGGCAGAGGAGTAAGGTGGGAGAGACAGACAGATGGAGAAGTAGACAAATCCACAGACAGTGAGACAGACAATCAGAGACAGAGATAAACCCAAAAACAAAAAAGAGAAACACCTCTCCTTCCTTCCACCCAGCCAGACAGCTAGACAGACACGCTAGACAGAGAGAGAGAGAGAGAGAGCGAACAGGGCAAGCACAGACCAGGAAGGTGTGTGCATGCCGCCCCTGCCGCACCCTCAGAATGAATGAAAGAGCTGACCTGCAGGGCTGAGGGTGCGTCGCTGGAAAATGACAGGCTGCAGTTACCCATTAAATAACCCCGTTTTCTTTTCGTTCGCTTGGCCTCCTCTTCACAAAAGGGTTCAACGAATATCCCGTTTTTTTAACTCTTTTCCTACTTTTATATTATTCATTTTTTTGTAGTGTGATTTGATTTATCGGTCTCTTTGTGTTAAGTAAGGGAGTGCGGTTGCCCATTTGTGATTATCTAAGTTCTTTGTTCCTTCTAAGTTTAACGGAAACTTTATGAAAGAAAATGCAAAGTGTGTTAAAATGTTCGAAAGTTTTCTGAACGATTCGCACGCGAGAGAGACGAGAGGATGTGGTAACTTCAACATAATACGTCTCTCTCTCTCTCTCTCTCTCTCTCTCTCTCTCTCTCTCTTCTCTCTCTCTCTCTCCTCTCTTCTCTCTCTCTCTCCTCTCTCTCTCTCTCTCTCTCTCTCATTACATTCTCGCTTCATTATGATGACTGGTGTTTATCTGAGACCCACTTTTGCCTCGGGTGTCCACCTCCTCCCCTCCTCTCTCCTCCCTTCCTCCCTCTCCGCCCTCCTCCTACTCCTCCCTCCCTCCTCCCTCTCCCTCCTCCGCCCTTCCTCCCTACTCCTCCTCCCTTCCTCCTCCTCCTCTCCTCCTCCTCCTCCTCTCCCCTGCTGATCTTTCCCGCTGTGCATGTCTACGGGTAATTACCACCTTCGCCTCTTCACATTATACGGCTGGAACTTGACCGTCTCTACATCCTGGTCCTCTGGAGGGGGTGGGGGGAGGGAGGGAGTAGGGGAGGGGAGGGAGGGGAGGGAAGGTATCAGGTGCCCAGGCTGAGAAGGAGGGAAGAGCTGGAGGATAGGAGAAAAAGGGAGGGATAAGAAAAAAGGGGTGGGGGAAGAAGAAAGAAGAAGAAGAAGAAGAAAATGGGAAAATAATGGAAGGGGGAAAAAAAGGGAAAGAGAAGGAGAAGATCAAGAGAAAAACGAGGCGAAAGAGGAGAAGACGTAGGAGGGATAAAAGCGAGCGAAGGGAAATGATTAAGTATTCAGAGCCTCTGAGACGTCGGACGAAAAGCAATTACTCTCTGGTCTTTTATCATCACAGTTCCTCTTACGTTAGCAAAGTGTTACGTCCCACCTCCTGGCAAGAGGAAGGGAGGGAGGGAGGAGGAAGGGAGGGAGGGAGGAGGATGGGATGGTAGAAGGAGGAGGAGGGAGGGAAGGAGGATGGGATGGATAGAGGAGGGAGAGGAGAGAGTGAAGATTGAGGGAAGGGAGGGAAGGATAGAGGGAGAAGAGGGAAAGAGTGAAGAGGAAGGGATGGATAGAGGAAGGAGGAGGAGAGAGTGAAGAAACGGATGATAGAGGGAGGAGGAGTGAAGAGGAAAGTAGGAAGAGAGTGAAGAGAAAAGGAAGGAGGGAGGGAAGGAGAGGGCTCCACGGGTCATCTAAACTGCACCAAGCGAGGATTTAGTTAAGAGCCGTTTCAACTAATTTGTACTCTCGCCTGTGATGGAATACCTCGTGCTGCAGTCTAATGACATTGCATTTCTCGAGCGCAACACACGTCCTTAAGGAGAGGAGAAGGAACCTGTAATCTTTCCGTGGAGACGCCGCTGTATGCTGCCTCGGAAGTGTGTGTGATTGATGGAGCAAAGTGGTGATTAGGGTCCAAGAGAGAGAGAGAGAGAGAGGAAGAAGAGAGAGGAGAAAGGGAGAGGAGAGAGAGAGAAAGGGGAGAGGAAGAGAGAGAAGGAGAAAGGGGGAGAATGAGAGGAAGGGGAAGGAAGAGGAAGAGATACGAGAAGAGTGAGGAGAGAGAAAAAGAGAAGGGGAGAGAGGTAGGAAAGGAAAGAGAAAAAAAAAAGTCGAGAGAGAGATGAGAAAGAAAATAAGAAACAGAGTAGAAATAAACAGAGAGAGAGCGAAGGAAGAAGAGGGGAAGAAGAGAGAAAGAGAAGAGGGTCATCGTAGCATGAAGGATTAACTGTCGTACCCAAGAGAGAGAAGAGAGAGACTTTGACGCTTCGCTCACGCCAGAGACCGGATGCTCGGGCACAGGTGAGGAAGGGAAGCTCGTGTGTGTTTGTTTGTGTTTGTTCGTGTCGTCCGTGCGTTTGTTTGTTGTTTGTGATCCTCGTTTTATGCTTATGTATGTGATGGAATAGTTTGTACCTTTGTTTTCTCTAACTAGTATGTTCTTGTTGTTGACAGTTTTGGTACGAAAGTTGGACCATGAAATGTCGTAAGATTCGAAAGCGGCTTTGTGTTATAATGTTCTTTCCTACGTCGGGTTTCTCGGGTGTTACATGAGCGGAAATGTGAGTGTTGGGTATTTACACCCGCCTTTTGGGTCATCCGGAAGGGGCGTGTGTAAACAAGACCAAGACAAAAAAAGGAATAGAGAGAAAGAGAGAGAAAAAACACCGATTAAAAGAAAAAGAAGAAAAAAAAAAGATTGTAACATATAAAATGACATTTTTTTCAACTTACCGGAAGGCACTGAAAACTGCCTCGCGTCCTCGTCCTGGGACTGCTGTGGCTCGTAGCTGCTGGAGGCGGCGCTGCTGTAGGGGGAGTCGTAGGAGGGCTCGACGTAGGGGGAGGCATAGCCAGCTGCAGGGGAGCCGTAGCTGGTGTCCAGCCGCTCGTAGCTGGTGTCGAAGCTGGAGTTCACTGTGTCGTACAGGTTGTTTTGGCTGTCGAAAGCCGCGGGGCCGTAGTTGTTGAGCGTGTTGGCGGCCGAGGTGATGAAGGTGGCCTCCATGTCGAGGTCGAGGGCGGGCGTGGTGCGCGACGCGGGTCTGAGCGGGGCCGGAGATCCCCCCGGGTTGCGGCTCATGGGTGAGGCCTGGCCGACGCTGCAGGAGCTGCTGTAGCCCGACTCGCCTCCGGGGGACAGCAGGCCGTATTCGCCGAACGGGACGTCCAGGTAGGTCTTCGTGTATCCCACCTGCTGAGGCGTGTCGAACATCTGATACTGTTGTGGCTGCTGCTGGGGCTGCTGCTGGAACTGCTGAGGCTGCGGCTGCTTCTCCTGCTGCCCGCCGAAGATCTGCGGGCTGAACGCCTTGTCGAGCCCCGGCGTGACCAGCGAGTGAAGGTCCAAAAAGGTTGAGTCTGCACTCCAAGCCATGGCTGCTCACATGCACGCTCACTATGTGTGCAATGTCCGGCGGGGCAGGGGTGGCGGAGTCTCCAGGGAGGCGGAGAGGGAGCTGCGGCTGGCGCGTGCGGGTGCGTGGCGCGCGGCCGAGGTAGTGTGCGACGAACGCTGGCGGAGCCGGGTCGCTGCTGCTGCTCCGCGCGGCCTGAGTCACTCACTGGCTGACTCACTCTTACCCAGAAGTCTGCGGCGCGGGTCTTCGCTCTCGCTCTCGCCGAGGAGAGACTCTGCTATTTTGCCGACGTCGCGCTGCTTCTGCGAGGGGCACGACGAGGCGCCTTCTGACGAGACGGCTTCGGGAGAACGCGAAGGACTCGACGTCCCTTCGAAGACGAGTGAAAGGCGCTGGACAGAGCGAGCTGAACAAACAAACAAACACACGTGGAGCACGGGAGTTGGCGCTGAAACGGGCGCGGGCGGGCTCTCTCGCGGTCAACACACGCACAAACAAACACAGGCGGCTAGCACTCACTAAGCAAGCGAGTACCGGGGGCGCGTCCTTATTGGTCGGCGGCGTACGTGGTTCTGAGCTATCAGGGCGTCGCGCGGCTCTTTTTATAGGAGCGCCGAGCCGATACTTGGTAACCCATTCCGTAATCAACGTTGCCAACACGGGGACAGGTGGCGTAGGGGGCGTACCGAGGGGGGGGTGGGGGGGTAAAGCTACATCATCCCCCCCCCACAACTTGGTTCCTCGATCTGTCTGTTTACTGCTGATGTCAAGAGGGAGGGAGGGCGGTGTTTGGGTGGGCGGGGAGGGGAGGGGGCGGGGTTGCAAGGGCGTGCACTGCAACCTGTTGATCTCAAGTTGAGAACACCGCCCTCTTGGCTCCTTATATGCAACATTCTGCCCTTATACTGTCACTCGCAGTTGTTCGTCAAGTTAGTAAGTCCATTGTGGTTGAAGAAGTGAAATGTATCGATGTATTATCTTTTGCAGAATGGAGCTGCATATTGTAGTCTATCTTGAAGAAAGTTTGTCTGTTCTGTAGAGATAGATGATGGAATATATAAAGATATTTGAAATGGCTTAGAGTTTATCTGTCATATAGACATTAACGGGTACTTATCTACTCATTAATGACTGGTAATTTCTTGAGGCTATAAAAGTTTTGCTAATTATTTCCACTGTGATTGATGCATTTTTTATATATATCACTGTTCTAGAAAACAGCAAATGTAGATCGATTCTTGTGGGACTTTTTCAATATCTAGGCCAGGGACTCGAACGGTACCCGGGAAAAGTTCAACACATCGCAGCATTTCACAGAACCAAGGTCAGCCCGTCATGTGATAACCCAGTTCCAGACCCAAATAAAAACATTTCCGTCATTTATGGAGTTTAATCAGTTTTTCTCAGATGCGTTTGGCGTAAAAATAGAAATCGTTGCGTCATCCCACGCGATACAGTGTTGTCAAGATAAATTTGTAGGCCTATTCACTCTCTCTCTCTCTCGGGCGCTGTTCCTGCCTGGTGACGTGTTGGCGCGACGTCACACACGTAGCCCTATGACTCATCCCCGCTCTTGATTGGCCCACAGGAGAAGAAAAATGGGCGGAGCCTCCGGGATCTCGACCAATAGCCTTAAACCTCGACGGAGGTGGGGATAGCTCTCGGCCAATGAGCGGCGCGGTGGGCGGGGGATCTCGACGGGATTACCCAGCTCGGAAGGCGTGGGAAAAATCGAGCGCACCTGAAGAAGAGAGTTTCGTGTCAGCTGCGGTTCAAGGAAGAGGTGTCGCCCTTCTTCCGAAAAGACCCATTGCCGCACAGCTTCCCCTTTGCTCCTCGACTAAAAAAAAAAAAAGAAAAACTCAGAATTAACCAGTAATTGGCACTATCCGTTTCGACTTTCCGGTGCTTTCATTAACGGACTTTCTCTCTCCTCCTTACGTGGAAAGCGTTTAGTAATGATGCCATTTTGGAGGCACAGGGAGTACAGTCGAGGATGTTCTTACGCATATAGGAGTAGATGTAATAATACAGGAAATTCGAATAATTATAGTACTTTCTTGCGCCTTTCTTGTCTATCTACTTATCTGGGTTTATCTCTGTTTTTGTTTTGTATTTTTGTTTGTTTATTTAGGTGTCTGCTACTTCGTCTCTCTCTCTCTCTCTCTCTCTCTCTCTCTCTCTCTCTCTCTCTCTCTTCTCTCTCTCTCTCTCTCTCTCTCTCTCTCTCTCTCTCTCTCTCTCTCTCTCTCTCTCTCTCTCTCTCTCTCTCTCTCTCTCTCTCTCTCTCTCTCTCTCTCTCTCTCTCTCTCTCTCTCTCTCTCTCTCTCTCTCTCTCTCTCTCTCTCTCTCTCTCTCTCTCTCTCTCTCTCTTCTTCTTCTTCATCCCTAATCGTCAACACATCTTCATGAATAATTTTATAAACCTAACGTAAATACACTATAAAATGATAATAATAAATCATATTTATTTCCATTCATAAAAAAAAAATCAAATTACAGCAAACTCTAATCATGTTGAAACGTGTTCGTGTCTCCCATGTATGAAACCCGGTATAACGAAGCATGACGTCACAGCATAAACCCACATGTTTGGACTTGTTAGCTGACCCGGAAGGAACATAATGTGGCAGCATGTATTAAACCTATTGCAGTTTTATTTACCACATGTTATCAAAATTATGGGAATATGCGCTTAATTTTCTTATTATTATTATCATTATTATTATTATTTTAATTATGGGCATGTAGGTTGATTTCATGTGGAACAAATATGTTTAAATACAGATCACCACATGGTACCAGCGAGGTAATGATTACAACATGAAGGAACTTGAAAGAACATTTGCGAAATAACGCAGATATTACGCAACATGTTTTAACGTGTTGAGATACGCATTTCTGCGGAGAATGACTTAGCGTAAAACACATGTGGTGCGTTACATATATTGGCTCGGTTGGATTTGCATATGAACGTGTAAGGAGAAAGAAGAAGGGAGGAGGGAGGAGGAGGAGGAGGAGAAGAAAAAAGGAAGGAGGAGAGGAAGAAGAAGAAGATGAAAAAGAAGGGAGGAAAGGGAGGAAAAGGAGGAGGAAGATGAAGAAGATGAAAACGAAGGAGGAAGAAGAAGGATGAGGAGGAAGAAGAAATAATTATAAAATAAAGAATAAAATGAACTTACACATACAACCCTTCCACACACACACACTGTACCCACACGTACACACACCTACACACACGTTCAAAATGATATAGGTCTATAATGACGCTCTTTTGAAGGTTCACACTATACAAATTCGTATTATTAAACGTCTGTATCTATTTGCGCACAATATCGCAAATGTTCCTCTCTCTCTCTCTCTCTCTCTCTCTCTCTCTCTCTCTCTCTCTCTCTCTCTCTCCTCTCTCTCTCTCTCCTCTCTCTCTCTCTCTCTCTCTCCTCTCCTCTTCTCTCTCTCTCTCTCTCTCTCTCTCTCTTGTGTGAAGATTAACAATGATATCGCATTAATATGATTTTGTTGATAATGATGATTGATGATGATGGATAATAACTATGATCATTGTTAATGATACTGATTACAATAATCGTAATCATAGTTATTATCTCAATTGCTATTTCTTTTGATTTCATCGTTATTTTTTCTAATTCTATCTTTTCTTTCAAAGATCAGTACTAAGAATAATGATAACAATTTTGATAACGTAAATTACATTCATCAGAGACAATGACAAAGATATACACACACACACGCACACACAACACACACACACCACACTGACCACACACACAACACACACACTACACACACACACACACACATATGATACAAAAAATGAAATAAGATAAAACACATTGAAATAATCATGGCACTCAAATGAAAAATAATGATAATAATAATGATAATAATGACACAAATAAAGAATAGATAGATACATATATAAATAATAATGACTCCCAGAGAAGGCGGATAAAAAAACATTAATATAATCACGCCAATTAAATGCAAACACAGCGCCACCAACGCCACAGTAAACAACTGAACCATTGTCCTGCAAGTACATATAGTTACTGTTTCATACTGCGGTCTTTACACTGACTTCCTTGTGCCTTACGCCGTGTCTGGGTCTTATGACGTCACAGATTCTAAGCAGTTGGCGAATGTGTGACGTTTATTGCACGCTCGGGCCGATCTGTGACGTCACTGTGCTCCTGACGTCACGACTGGAGTAAATGGAGTAATTGAGACAACATTCCGGAATTCTTGTCATGTTTCGACACGAAGGAAGAGGCAAACAAAACAAAAAAATCGAAATGTCCAGGATTTGAAAAAAGGATTTTGGAGTTTCGTTGGATAATGCACGGGTTCAGACACGGTGGCATGACGAGGGAGATTTTGGATGTGTGCAAAGCGTGGATTTGTATATTTTTTTGTCTGTCAGTCAGTCGATCAGTCATTATTTCTTCCTGTTAATGTATTTGTCTATGTATTTATTTGTCGATCTGTCTGTCTGTCTATATGTCTATACCAATCTGTCTATGTCAATCTATCTATCTACTTATATATCTGTCTACATGTTTATGTGTGTGCGCGCACAAACATAAATGATAAATTACGTATTAGAAAAAAAAACTTTTTTCTCTCACTATCTATCTAAGATTAAATTTCTAACTTCTCTCTACTCTACACTCCTCTCTCCTCTCTCCCTTCCGCTCTCTCTCTCTCCCTTTCCCACCATCCCCCCTCCTTCCTACCCTTTTCTCTCCTAAAAAAAACAAAACAAAAATACAACAGAAAGAAAAAAAAACAAATTTCCCATAGAATTTCACCCATATCAAGAACGGACATAGGAAAGTCCAGAAAAAATATATTAGATTTTGATATAAATATAGAATCCCGGCGGATTAGGGATAAAAGCTCGACTCATCCCCTTGGCAACACCGGACATATGGTAACTATAGTCAAAGAAGATAAAAAAATAAATAAAAAAATGTGTATTAATAACTAGAGTTTCTTAAGATGAGGAGGAACTTTTTGTGTGGATAAATGTTTAGTCAAAAGGTATATATATTATTTTTTTTTTTATTCTATGGGAAAACAATGAGCCAATTAATGATAAAAAAACAAGTAAGAAAAAAATCACTAGGATAATAATTACCCTCAAATGAGTGCCATGATTAATCAATTTTCTTTTGACTTGTCTTTTATCATTATTAGGGTAATTTCTTCTATTTTTCTGTTATTAGTCATTATATTAGTACTACTGGCATTCGTTAATAAATGTATTACTCGAGTTTTAAGTGTTTTTCTTTTCTTTTTACAAAACAGAGTGCTGGAAAATGTAAAAAACAGATTGAACGTTAAACAGAGAGAACCGTTAAAAAGTGCTTAACGTTTAAGAAAGTTTATCGTTTAAAAAGAGTTAAAGAGAAAGGTTTAAGAAAGTTATCGTTTAAACAGAGTTAAAAAATTTAAACGTTAAAGAGAGTAAAACGTAAACAAAGTTAAGAAAAAATTAAATATAGAGAGTTAACCGCTAAAAAACGTTATATTCTTATATGAACCACCGTCTTGTCTATT